GGTTAGTTTTTTTTAAGCCTTTGCATGTTCAGAAGGGTGGATTAAGTATTCTCACAAATGTGCTCTTGATTGAACCTGTTTGCACTTTGTTGATGTTCATTCCATGTCCGCTCTGGAAGCTCAAAGAGGAATAACTTCTAATTTTGGGTTCTCTTTTGGACTCCAGAGGAGCAGTTTTGCGGAAGTGAAGGGAGGGAAGTCCTTTGCCTGATGCTTCCACCGTCCACTCAGACTTATTGCTATATTAAGATAATTTGTCATTGTGGTACAGGGACTCTGCCTTGCAGCAGCTCAGTGGTCTTGGTCTGGCTGAGAACTCCGAATGCACCTTCTCTTTGGTCATGGCTGCACACGTTAATAGCATTGATTAAGTGATACTTAGAAATGGTTTTGCTGGATATCACTCAGCACTTTGTTAAAATCCTCCCGAGGGAGAGTGTTCCTGCTGTCCGTGCGAAAGGACTGTGAGCCAACTCCTGAAATCCTTACTCTCACAGCATTAAGTTCATTGGAAATGTTGCCCGGGTAAGAAGTTCATGATTTGGCTGAGCAATAATTTGAGGGCTTGTCCCTGGATATTTGCTGCAGCATCCATTTATTTATGTATTTATTTCTTATTTTTTGGGTGCAGGAATACATGGTTTCTCGTTCAGATGCACTGTTCCGTAGACACGGCATTCTGGAGTTAAATTCTGTTTTGTTTTCGTTGTGTAGAAGTTGAATGTATTGGCTGTTCTCTCAAACTGAGCTGTTATCTGAATTACTGTATTCAGCTCTTCTTTATTTTTCTGACCTTATTAAATCAAGCTTTCTAGTTGGCATGTTGTTGACCAGGAGAAGTAGTGAACTTGAAAACTTTTTGACGGGTTTAATATTGAAACAGGCTATTTTGTCCCTGAAATGACTATTTTATGTACGTATTTTCCGTTTGTGCTTGATTTGAATGGCTTCATTGCTTTATGCTATTGGATGTGCTTTATTTGTTCCTGTTCTCTGACTATGGCACACACCAATTCAGTCTCTGGAGGACTGTAATACTTCGGTCTAATGCTAGTTGAGTTGGGGTTGATTCATGAGTGCTGGGCGAGTGCTGTATGATATACAAGAGGTCAGAGTGTGATCTGATGGTCCCTTCTGGCCTTAAACTCCCTACGTCTAGACTACGGTTTATTTCAAAAGGAGATATTCAAATTCAGCACTAATTTGCATATCTTCTTCAGATCACTTTTTCGAAAGTGGGTTTTTGAACCTCTGTGGGTGGATTAAAGGAGATGGCTCATGCCCCAACATCTTAGGACACATCTAGACTATGGGTTTTTTTTTAAGAAGATATGCAAATTAGCACTGAATTTGCATATCTCCTTTCAAAAAAACCCGTAGTCTAGATGTACCCCCTGAGTTTTCTTTTCCTCACAACTCAAGGGTGAGGCTTTTGAGTGGATTGGTCGATCCAAAATCGCATGTGAAGATCAGTGTTTAAGACATTTAGACAAAATGTGCAGGAGGCTGCATGTCACCTATTAAAATGTGAATTTAAAAATAGCTTGTGGGGAGGTGGTGTTATATTAATCAAACCATTAACCAGTAATGCTGAGTTACTGATCCCACTAGGTGGATCAAGAATTTACATCAGGCATGAATTTGGTCCAGTGCCTCAAAAAGGAAGGGGATAGGTACTGTGTAGCTACTTTTGTGTTATTTTGTCTGAAATAGCTTCCATACATCAAGGACTATAACAGGGTTCAAACAAGAGCTAGATACATTCATGGAAGTTAGGTCCATCAGTGGCTATTAGCCAGAATGGGCAGGGATGGTGTCCTGAGGTACAGTTTTCCAGAACCTGGGCACAGGTGACGGGATGGATCACTTGATAATTTCCTGTTCTGTTCATTCCCTCTGGGGCACCTGGCATTGGCCACTCTCAGCAGACAGGACACTGGGCTAGATGGACCTTTGGTCTGACCTCTCAGAGAGGTGGATTAGCTCCACTGGTATAAAAAACCCTTCTGTTGATGTTGAAAGTGTCTGTACAGTGGTGCTATAGTGTCATATTGTACCACTGTAATGGCTGTAGTGTAGACCTAGCTTAATCAAATTACGCTTTCTTCGCTGCATAGGACAAATTTAGAGGCACTGCAGAAGAAGCTGGAGGAGTTAGAATTGGATGAGCAGCAACGTAAACGTCTTGAAGCTTTCCTTACGCAGAAGCAAAAAGTTGGGGAGCTGAAGGATGACGACTTCGAGAAAATCAGTGAGCTGGGAGCAGGGAACGGCGGCGTGGTCTTCAAAGTCTCTCACAAACCTTCTGGCCTCATTATGGCAAGAAAGGTGAGAACCGCCTTGTCAACGGGAATTTCCATTGTGCCTTTTCTAAGCTTAGTGCCCATCCAAAAATGACAGTCACACAAAGAATATTATGAAAGATCAACTTCCAGGAGAAGTGGAAATGCCTTCTAAAAATAGCAAAGGTCAAATATCTCTGTAGCTTCCACTTCCCCTGTCTGTGGACTTGGTATTGTGTTCCATGCGGTAGTGATGACAGGCCAGTAATCCCCTCGATTTTTCTTTAGCAGCTTCTCATATTTTGTAAAGTAGGTGGGATTTTGTTTCTTGGCAAAAAACGTATGTCTCTGGCTCAAAATTGAATTACACAGTAGACCCTCACTAATGTTTAGGATGTCCACCATTAATGTTTTGGATTAGCAAAGCAGCATATCCTGTTCTCTAAGCCAAGTTTTTGCACAGGGGCTTAATATGTTCTACACTGTCGGGGTTGGAAGAGGGGGAAATTCTCCAGTAAAGGAATAGATCTACTTTGTGCTTGCTCCTGCAGCATCAGGGCTCCTTTTCTGTAGAACCAGGAGAACCGTTGGTGGAACCGCTGTCTCAACCTCCCTGCCTCTTTCACTGCCATGCAGGAAGGCCCTTTCCCCTGTGCAGAAGGAGTGCTCTACTGCCGCAAGTAGCACTCTTTCTGACGAAGGCCACATCTCCACTTGCGGTGCCAGAGATTGATCTTGCGGTGTTTGATTTAGTGGGTCTAGTTAAGACCCGCTGAGTTGAACACTGAGAGTGGCTCCGGTAGGCGCTGGTACTCTTCACATTTCTGAGGAGTAAGAGAAACCGCTGGAAATCAAAAGGGAGAATAGTGTAAGAGGGTAGGTTGCCAACTTTCTGATTGGAGAAAACTGAACACCCTTGTCCTGCCCCTGCTCTAAGTTTGAGGCCGTGGCCTGGCTCATTCAATCCCCCCCTCCTCCATCGCTCGCTCTCTGCCACTCTCACTCATTCTCTGGCTGGGGCAGGGGATTGGGTGCAGGAGGAGACTACAGGCTAAGCCAGGAAATTAGGGTGTGGGAAGAGGGAAGGGCTCTGGCTGGGGGTGAGAGCACTAGTGTGGGGATGGGGATGAGGGGTTTGGGATGTGGGAAGGTCTCTGGGTTAGAGCAGAGGCATTCAGAGGGTGGGAGGGGATTCTAGGGTAGAGGAGAATGCAGGGGGTGTTTGCTGCTACTTCCAGGAGCCATGGGAGGTATGTCCCTTCACCCCCAGCTCTTAGGCAGAGTTGGGGCCAGTCAACTCTGTGCATTGTCCCTGCAGCTCCCATTGGCCATGGTTCCTGGCCAATGGGAGCTGCAGAGCTGGCACTCAGAGCAGGGGCAGTGTGCAGAGCTCCCTGGAGGCCCTCAACATGCCACTGCTTCTGTGTGGAGCCAGGACAGACAGGGAGCCTGCCTTAGGCCTGCTGTGTTGCTGACCAGTTGCCTGGTAACCCTATAAAAGAGGGGCTGGTGTGGAATGAATGTGACTGATGGGTGGGAAGAGGGGGAGCAAGCAGCCAATCAGCACAGGGCAGAGGTTATCAGAAAACTTTCTTCAGCTCTCATTGGAATATCCAAGGGCCCAGAGATCCCTCCTTTGGCTACTGCTTTTATTGGCTAAAATCTTTGGCTTCCTGTTCTTGACAGTTTTTCCCCAAGGTCCTGTGGTGATGTGGGGGAGGAGAGCAAAGGCATCACTTGGACCCTAGTGCCTCCAGAGTGGGGGAAGGGGTCCAGGTGGCTCTTTCTGGGAGTAGGGGATCAGTATACTCCAGCCCCATTTCACCCCCCTACCGTAGTGCAGTAGTTTGGCAGTTTTTTGTAAGAGGAGTGGATGGGTTAGTTGTGAGGCCGGTTGAAAACTTTCCATCCAAACCACTTTTCCTCTGAAAAATGGGATTTCGATTACAAGATTTTTTTTCACAAGAAGTGTCTGCATTTTGTGACACGGGAGTTCACCAAGGACATTAACTACCGTTCATTTGTGTAAACGTGCAACTGTTGGAAATTTTAGCAGTTACACATTTTTACGCGGCGGTGAGGGGAGGCAGGACCTCAGGGGGAGCTGACTTTTAAGCCAGCTCTCCACAAGCACTAGCTCCCACCTGTCCCCTGCCCCTGCCGCCTCTGATGGAGCAGCAGTGTGTGTGTGGGGGGGGAAAGGGCGAGGTGGTTCCATGGGAGCTGGTGCTCATGGGCAGCCAGCTTTTAAACCAGCTCCCCCCAGTACTGGCTCCTACCTGCCCCCACTTCTGCGCTGCTCCCTCTGTGGGAGGCAACAGGGGAGCCGGCTAAAAAACCCAGCTCTCCAGGGACACTGGCCCTCACCTCCCCACCCCTTTGATACCCCTGATACAGAGGCAGCAAGGAGGTGGAGTTGCATTTTGTCGGTATGATTTAACCCAGGGTGGAGAACTTTTTAAGGGTCGGGGACTGCTGACACACAGAAAAATCAGTCAGGGGCCACACCACCAAATCCTCACTGATGTAGCCCCTGACTGAGAAGGAGAAAGACACTCTTCACATTCCCCTCACACACCAGAGCCTAGGTGAGCTCAGGCTAATAGATTTTGTGTGCTCCATCTCTGCAGGGGGTGGTGGTGGTGGGGCTGGAGCACCAGCTCGGGCTCCCCAATGCTGGGAGTGAGACCCGAGCCTTGGGGGCTAGATCCAGGTAAACTGGGGGCTGTGTATGGCCCCTAGGCCTTAGGTTCTCCACCCCTGGATTAACAGACAAGCCCAGGCTTATCAGTTAATTGTGTTATCGTCTACATGCTAACATCCCTATAGTTCACATGCCTTATTGCCTCCATTTTTATGTGCTAGTTCTCTGGCTGTACTACATCTCTCGTGTATTTGGATTTGCAATGTCAGGGCTTCCCTATGTCGCTCCAGGATATCAGAAATGTCCTGCACTTGAAAAATAAATAAAAATCCCCACCTTTGTATAATAAGACATTTTTATATCTTAATTGAGGCCCATTTGATAATGTCTTATCTATATTACATATACAGCATTAAAAAGCATTGTTTAGAATGTGCGTTTCAGTTGAAATAGACCATTCTCTAAAGGCCACAAGCATGCACAGAAAGGCCGCAAGCTTGCATATTGCAAACTACACCCTGTTGTCAGTTTCACTAGAAAAGCCAGCTATTAACTGGGCACTAAGGCTGAGCTATCCCCTGTCTTCAGAGGTCTTCTATTCATGTCGAGTTCGAGACACAATAGTGTGGCCTATAGAGGGAGCTTTCACTGCTTTGTGTGCACTGTATCTAGTCTGAAAATAGTTAAGACTTCACTCCATTGCTAGAAATCCAGCATCTGTTCATGAGCACTGGAATGCACATACCCTGTGCTCTATTTTTTTATAAAGTGCACAAATATGGAACTTCCCTAGTAACGGTTCTATAGGATGATTATGCTTTAATATTAATATTTCTGTGGGATAAAATAAAAATTGCAGCATCCATGTCTGTATTGTTTTTAAATTGTCACTGTGGGAGCAATAACAATGGATTTGTCTTACAGTTAATTCACTTAGAGATCAAGCCGGCTATTCGAAACCAGATCATTCGTGAGCTACAAGTGCTACATGAATGTAACTCGCCATATATAGTAGGCTTTTACGGGGCTTTTTACAGTGATGGAGAGATCAGCATTTGCATGGAACACATGGTAAGTACACGTGCCTCTGTGTTAATCTAAATTTTGGTATCAGACCTCTGTGAATATGGAACCCAATAGATACTGTGTTTGGTATATATTCATAGAAATTCTGTTAACACGGGATCTCCTTGTGCATGTATAAAGAGTGGAATATTGGAGTTCTGATTGACCATGCAAATCTGAGGGCTTTGGATTTAGCATTGTCACAACATAACCTTTCCAGTGTAACCAATCCACTGTATTGGTCATCCCTACAAAAGTCCTATTTCCTTCTCCTTTATGCCTAGCCTTTGAGAATCCACATTCTAGCTGCCGTTCTTACTGCCAGTCGACATGCTGGTTAATCAATCTGAGGAGTTAATGTTGAGGATTATGTTGTCCTTTGGCTTTGCCTGAATGGGGAAAAATAATCTCCTTTTACAGCAACTGCCAGCATCGGTGCAGCTCCACAAAAGTAGCCGTTGGTGCGACCCCTTTTCCCGCCATGTAAAAAGGGCTCCAATGTTTTTACCACTTGAAAACTAGGGGTGTTAAAATGTGTTTATTCTGGTAAACATGTAACGGCTGAAAATTTCAGCTGTTACATGTTTACATGCGGGGGGGGGGGGGGGAGGGGGGGAGAAGGCGGCTCACCGGGAGCTGATGCTTGTGGGGAGCTGCCTTAAAAGCCAACTCCCTGTGTGTTGCTCCCGCCTGCCCCCCAGCACTGCTGCCTCTGCTACAAGGGGACTGCATGTAACTGTGAAGGTTAAGAGATGAGCCTGGGCCCAGTGGTTAACTGTTTACACATTTACACTTTCACAACCCTGTTGAAAATCTGTTCTGAGCTGGACTTTTTGACACCATGTTAAAAATACCTGGACTAGAACAACAGCGGTGGCTTATCATTGGTGCACCTGCTGTAAATACAGGTATGTAATTTTTCTAGTGTAGATACAATTTCAGAGCAACTAGAGAGAATACATCTGCCCTGCCCATCTTTTCTGAAATCCTAGAGGAAGGACAGGGGAAACTAGCAAGACCAGAAGCACCATAAACAACTGTTGTTTCATACCAATATTTTTTTTTAACTTTGTTTCTTTTTAATAGAAAAGTACACATTTATTCTAGCCATCTGCCAGCATTTCTCTAATGCCATATGGAGCCCAATGTTAAGGGCAATTTTTCTGTGATTTAAGGTCAATCAAATCCCTCCCTTGTCCAACAGGCAGAAGAGGCTTTGAATAATTTCTGTTCAAAGAATCACATTTTCTAGCAAGTAACATAGAAAGAAGGTCCTTTACTTTCTTTCTGTGGATACTATACGTAGTTATATTAATGTTGCCTTGACCTTCGTTAAAGGAAATCTTTGGGGAAAATGTATGGTTGACTAGGCGCATGTGATCACACACTCATTTCTTTTACAATGTGCAAACGGAATGTGGTGCTGCTGAATAATATTTATATATATACTTCATGCTTCAGAGAGGCCAGTTCCCCAAAGCTGAAACCAATAGGGAGGAAAACTGACTGAGTGGAAATGCTGAAACCTAAAAACAGGAATGATGATTAGTAATGGTGTTAAAAATGCTTTGTTAGATGCCCAAAAACACAATTCTGTAATCATGAAAGAAGGTATCTTTTGGTTAAAAGCCATCTTGGTTAATAGGGGAGATGAAATAAGTACATGCCTGTGTGAATGTGAGGCTGTGTGTGTAGATGTGCGCATGTGTATTACACATACAAATGGAGAAACTGAAAGCAATAAATACAAACAGTGTACAGTAGTTAGGAAATGCAGATAGTTGATAAGGGAAGCTAAAGTTATCAGTTGGTAGGGCTAAGAACAATAAGAAGTATCAGAGGGGTAGCCATGTTAGTCTGAATCTGCAATAGAGGCGAGGGGTCCTGTGGCACCTTATAGACTAACCGAAGTGTTGGAGCATAAGCTTTGTCAGATGCATGTCAACAATAAGAAGGAATTCTTTAAATATATCTGGAACAAACAAAATCCTAGTAAGGGAAGATTTAAATTTTTGTCCTTGTCCATCTGAAAATATCAAGTTAATCTTCACTTCAACTCGCACCAAGTGCTTGACAAGCAAAATATTTGGGGTTTGCTCTTAAAAGATGCTGAGCACCTGGACTTCCATGGCAATTGAAGGCAGGAAGCTCCTTGCCCAATTGGGACCTGTTTCAAAGGTCTGCTGATTGCCTTGTAGAGTGAATCCTTCTGTCTGATAACAACTTGTAGTAACAAGATCAGAAGAGGTTGCTAGATTTTCGATGTACTGCGGATACGTTTTCCCCCCGCCCATATATTATATTATATAATGTATGTTTGTTTTTTGTAACTTTTCCTTTGGTACTCCTATTTCTTTTGGCTGAGTTCACATTTGATTACATGAATGTGAGCGCAACATTTAACGTAGACTCACATGCACTTTTAAAAAATCTTTCTCCGCCAGGTAATTGGATATGGTTTTTACTTAAAGAAATAACATTGTGAAGTTTTGTTTTTGTTATGTAGTCTCTGTTCTACAAAATCTGCACAAGGCCACTGTTGAATTACATCATAATCGGTTGCTAAAAATAAGCATACAGCTTTTTTTTTTCCTTCTCAAGCTCTTAGCAACGGGATTACTTGAATTTGAAAGAGTGCAAGTACATGTGTTAGTAACTAATTTAACACTGGTAAAATTAGTGGAGTAGTTATTTAACATGAAATTTGGAAAGACATTTTTTTTTCTATTTTTGTCCTTTGGTGAGTCATTTTGCAGAAGCTAGAAATGGGCAATAGGGGATATATCATTTGTTGATAACCTGTTCTGTTCATTCCCTCTGGGGCATCTGGCCGCTGTCGGCAGACAGGACACTGGGCTAGATGGACCTTCAGTCTGACCCAATGCGACCGTTCTTTATGTTCTCATAGCCTGCCCCGTGTGTCCATTTGGGGGTGTGCCTGACACACTGGCGTCCTCAGTTAAGAATGGAACTCCTCACGACTCCTCGCTGTTTCTGCATACAGGACAGGCTCAGAGGGGTTCTAGAGAACATGCTGGTGCAGGGGAGCTGATAAATGGTTTTCTTCCTAGTGCTCAGAGTTCTATAGAACCTCCTGCTAGGGTTGCCAGGTGTCTGGTTTTCACCTGGACAGTCTGTTATTCATGGCCCCTGTCCGGTAAAAAAAAACCCCAGAAAATACTGACATGTAAAATGTCCGATAGCTTCTGTTTTTCTTGGATGGAAGGCCGGCAGGGACATTCTTCCCCTGCTGCGTCTAGCAGGGGCAGGAGTGGGGGGAAGCGAGGAGTATGGGGATTTTTAAAGGCCCAGCGACTTTTTTTCCTTTTTCTCAATCAGTTTTTTTCCTGCCACGTTCGGGATTTTTTGTGAAAGCATCAGGCAACCCTACCTCCTGCTGACCTCTGAGACTGGTCGTCAGCAGGGTTCCCTCTCACTTTTCCTACCCCTGAGGGGAATGAATTTCGTTATGTGCATCAATATGGGGGAGGGGAGAAAGATGTGTGACACTTCACCTTCATATTGGTGCACATAACACAATTAAAGTGGTGGGGGTGGGGCCAAGGGGTTCATAGTGCAGGAGGAGGCTCCAGCCTGGGGCTGAGGGTTGGGGTACAAGGGTGTTCAGGCTCTGGCTGTGGGGGCAGGCTCAGAAATGGGGGCAGGGATGAGGGGCTTAGGGATGGAGCAGATGATTGGGGTGCAGGGGTATGTGGATTCCAGCTGGGGGATAAAGGATATAGGGTGGAGCTGGATCCAGGAAAGGTTGGGGTGAAGGAAGGTGCTCCAGGGCTACTGCAAGGAGAGGTCTTCCTTTCAGCTCTGTCTCCTCACAGCAGCACCCGGGTCTGGGGGAACATCCATGGCCCAGATGAGGATCGTGGCTGGATGGGAGACAGGAAGGAAGCCAGATGGGAGCTAGGGCTGAGCCGCTGTAGCCAGAGGGTGGTTTAGCTTGGGGCTGAGGAAAGGGGCAGCCCTCTCCCAGCTTCTGCAAGTCCCTGGCCTGGCCACGCAGCTTCCATGAGTGCCTGTGTGTTGCTAAATAGCAAGCTGCATGGCCGCTCAGCCACGTAGTTTACAGGGATCTTAGGTCTTCAGGTGTCTTTCATAATTGCTCCAATGTCTGTTCAGAGAAAGCAGGATATCAAATTTCAGAATGAAAACATACACAGACAATGCATGAAAAACCCATACACGGATGATTCATTCCCCGCATTCCTTGTTTTCTTGGATTACAAACTTTAGAGGGTGTCAATCTCTGTGCACTGTACATAGCACAGTGGGCCCTGATCCTGGTTAGGGCCACTGCATGCTACCAGATACACTGATACTCAGATCTGAACAGATCCACTCAGACCTTCATAGATCACAAGATATAAACCTTCCTTCCTGCCTGAACCCTGAGCATCTAAAAGAGTGACAGTGGCACCCCATGGACATGCAGAGAACAGTTAAATACCTGCAGGCTGCTGCAGAAAGCTTACTGTGCTCCTAGTGCTGTGCGTCAGCTGGTGATGGGCAAAGCCTCCTTTTGAAGGAGGATCAGCCTGGGCATCATGCAATTATGCAAGGCCAGAAGACCATTAAGTGATGCCAGCGTCCTCCTCAGTGGTTGCCACGTCGCTGGTTGTTTTACAGTTTAGTATAAAACTGATTAAGCTTTTTCTAATGACCAGCTTCATTTTTTCTTCCCCCTGATACTCACGACTACGATATAAAGCAAAAAGAATCGTTGATTTCATCACAAGCAACGGGATGTGGCACATTGGCTACCTTCAAAAGGACATTTTTTTCCCTCCCAGACTGTAGGCTTTAAAATGTTTTGGATAAATATGATTAACATTGTAATATTCAAACATTTATCATTAGGATGGTGGGTCCTTGGATCAAGTCCTGAAAAAAGCTGGAAGAATTCCAGAGCAGATTTTGGGCAAAGTTAGCATTGCTGTAAGTATGTTTGTAATTTACTCTGGGAATCGGGGACCAGATGTCTCCATGTTATGTTAGGATTGTGCCGCATCCAGAAGGCAAAAGCAGTTGGTTTGGGGGATTAAGGAAAATTTAAGTGAGATAGGCAAATATTACTAGGTTTTAAAGTGTTTTTGTAATAGTTTTTTTTTAAATATGTCACCATATAACTAAGAGCATTTGGTTGAATCTCACACATACCCTTGGGAATGTTTGCTTTGATTTCCCACTTAGATGACAGCTGCTGTTACTGCCATTGGATGGAAAAAGGACTAGCAAAATAATTCAAATGGTCTGAAAAAGACTGTCTATTAAATTTAGGGATGTAAAATTCTGTTTAATCAGTTAACTGGTTAAACATAGTGTTTAACCGGTTAGCCACTTAAACAGGGCTTGGCTGGAGTGCCCCCTGGCCACTGAGACATGGTGGGCCACCTGTTGACCAGTAACCGGTTAACCATGACATCCCTAATTCAGATGTTTTGAATGTTACCCTTTAAGGATGTGTATTGCGGTAAAACAATGAGGATTCCTCTGGCACCTGACAAACTAACACATTTCTTTGGGCATAAGCTTATGTCCCAAATAAATTTGTTTGTCTTTAATGTGCCACAGGACTCATTGCTGTCTTTATGGATACAGGCTAACTGTGTATTGCAGTAGGTTGTGCCCATGACACTTCTGGTGGCTGTTGGGTTAATGTTATTGTCCTTTATTAAAAGTCTCAGAGGAGTATCAGGGTTGGTCTGTAACTTTACTACAAGGAGTCCTGTGGTACCTTAGAGACTACCAAAGATAAATATATATAGTATCATGAGCTTTCATGGGCAAAACCCTCTGTTCATCTGAGGAAGTGGGTTTTGCCTGTGAAAGCTCATAATATATAATCATCCAGAATATATAATCATGAGCTTTTGTAGGCATGTAGCACCTTAGAGATTAACAAAGATATGTGTGTGCGTGTGTGTGTTGTGCTTTTTGATTTTGACACTTTGAAATTCTTGCTCAAATGAAACTCGTGTTTTCAATTTTACTGAGTTTACTGCTTTGTAACTCTGAGTTTCCTTTTCTCTAGGTAATCAAAGGTCTCACATATTTGAGAGAAAAGCATAAGATAATGCACAGAGGTAAGACCATATGTTATATCCTTTGCTTCTCTTTTCATTCTATATTGAACATCCATAGAAATCAAGAGCTTTATTTTCCTGTTTCATGTTTTTACGTCTCACTTTGAATTTTTTTTCACCTGACGTATTGTTTCTCCAAATCTCTATTTCAACCATTACTCCTGTAGCTGGTGGGTGCTCTCACACTCAGTATGTTGCAAATGTGATGACCATTCTTTGAAATGCTAGCTTTTCAAAGGAAACTTCCGTGGCAGGGGTGGGGAACCTGCGGGCTGGATCTGGCTTGCCTGACACTGGCCTGCAATGCTCGGGGCTTCCCGAGCATGTGCTAGCACTCCCCTGCAGCCCCCCCGTTTGGCTGGATTGCCAGCACTGGTTCCCCGCTGAGGGGTGGAAGGAGAGTGAGGAGCGGGGAACTCCGAGCCTTGCAGGCTGAAGTGAGGCAAGCTAGGGGCAGATCCCTCTGCCCAGTGGGGAAAGGAAGCAGCTCCACCTGCTGCTGTTCCCCCTCTCTTCTGGCTCTCCTGGAGGGTTTTTCCCCACTGCTCCAATTGGCCATAATTGTAGCCAATAGGAGCAGCAGGGGGAGGTGCCTGGGAATCGCAGAGGAGCTCCTGTCCTCTGTGGTGCAGAACAGGTAAATGCCTCCCCATCTCCCAGATCCTGCATTACCCCTCCTGCTCAGATTTCATCTCTGTCCCATTCCTGCACCCTACCTCCCACCCAACTCTCCCTTTCCCAGCCTTCTCCTGCATCCCCTCCCACCCAGACCCCCTCCCTTAACCCCCCTTCCCAGCAGCCTCCTCCTACACACTGATCCCCTTATTTTGGCCCCACCCTAGAGCCTAGGGGGGCCAGGCTGGAGTATGTGGGGGAATGAGGTGAGTGTCTTGGTTTTTTCTTCAATGTCAATTAGGTTTTTTTTTCTTCTTTTTTTGCTTTTCACTTTTGTGTGGCCCCCGACTGATTTTTCTGTGAGTCAGTGGCCCCCAGGCCAAAAGGGGTTTTTCACCTCTTGTCTCTGGTGTGGGAGGGAGCTTTGCATTCAGCTTCCAACCCATCAGGCATGCAGTGGCGTTATAGCTGAGTGGGTCCCAGGATATTAAAGAGATGAGGTGGATGAGGTAATATCTTGGATTGGGTGAACGACACAAGCTTTCGAGCTTACCATTGCGTAAGTCCAAGCCAATCTACATGAGAGCTATAGGAGAGGGGGTGTGTGTGATTCGTCTATTTGATATACTCTTGCTTTATGCGGAAAGCTTGTTAAAATCCCTTATGAAACAGTATTTATGACATTACAGTTCTCTAATTGTAATGGGTTTTCTTCTGGTAGCAACAGACCTATTATCCATCTTAGCTAAAAGCTTTGACGAGATTCAAAAAAGGAAAACATGCTGCTTTTAATTTCTGCTAATTTCCATTATCACCATTAAGACTATGGTTTCTCTTTTAATTTAAAGTCACGGGCTTTTAGTAGATGTCTCAGGCATTCATGTGCTATTTATAGCACCCCACCAATAAAAAGCACAGACCTCTACATTTATTACCTAGTTTAACGGTTGTTAACAAAATGGGTGATTGTCAAATTACATAAAAAAGAAGCAGGAGTTTAGTTCTACATCTACCCAGATCTTTGGACTGATTTTGCAGTGGGGTGAACACCCATATTGTTTCCTGCATCTTTTTACCTACAGCCTTTTAAATCCAGCTGTTTTTAATTGATTGGATGACCTACTAAATCAGAAGTGGCACTTATGAAATGAAAAATTCTGTAGTTCCTACAGCAGTGTGAATTACGCACCACAGATGGATTGCACTCCCGTTTTTTTGCCTCTGATTGAATGGTTCAGCTCATTGCTGTGATTACACAATATAGCCTTCAGTATGGACCACTTAGCCTGTCTCTTGTATCCGTTAGGACTCCACAGGCTTTTAGCTATAACAGCATTCCATTCATCAGACTAATCAGATGCTATGTGGTTGTTAGCAAACCAAGAAAGGATTCATAGGAACTCACATAGATGTGACAGATTGAAGAACAACTTTAAACATGATGCAATCGACTGGTTTTATTACATGTTCTATTTGGGGTTTTGCCAACAGTTGAACATAGGTGCCTGCCCAGCCCACGTTGCTTCTCGCGGCTCCTCTTGGCTGTAAATGGCGAACCGGAGCCAATGGGAGCCACGAGGCTCTGTGGCTGCAGAGCTAGTAAATAAACACAAAGGAGCGGCCAGTTAGCAGGTTTCATGGACCACTTTGAGAAACCCTGATCTAACCTAAATCTCCCTTGCTGCGGGTTTAGCACAGATTCTCTCTAGGGATGTGAATGGATAATCGGGTGAGGCTTACCAGTTCCAGTTAACTAGTGGGCGCTGGAGCAGCACCCAACCCACAGCAGGCAGGAGGGGCTGCTGCAGCACTGTGGAGACACTGCAGGTAGGGCCCACTTTGGAGCAGCCCCCCCACCTACCCTTCTTTTAATCAGTTAAACATTATGTTTAACCGGTTAACCAGTTAAATGGGATTTTACATCCCTAATTCTCTCTTCAGTGGAGGTGGGAACCAGAAGATCAGGATCCTGTTTATAACTGTCCTTAATGTATTTGAAGGCTTGTTACGAGCACCTCCTTTAGTCTTTGTGTCTCAAGACTACCTATGGCCAGGTTTTTGCAGACTTTTCCTGGTAGGTCAGGACCCAGATCGTGGTGCCCCCTCCCCCGGCAGCCCTAGGAGCTGCCCAGAGCCCTGTGCATGGTGCTCTGGCAGCAATTTAAAAGATCTATGGCTCCAACCACCGCAGCTGCTGGGATCCCTAGGTCCCTGTGAACCACCATGCTCTGGGGCAATTGCACTTGCCCCCCGCCGGCAGGCCTGATTCTCAGAGGACTCAGGTGGCCGAGATCTGGTGAGAATATCTAGAGTTGTTTAAAGCTACCAGCCTGAACCTGAGCCCCAGGAACTCTGGATGTGAGCACCACCACCTCCATTCTAGCATGACGCTCGATTCTGACTTACAGGTGTGAAAACACACGTCTCTCTTCCACCTTACATTCTGCCATGGATTGTGTTGAGGTACCGCATCTCGGACTCCCACAACGCCAGGGTTTCTGTCGGACAGTTGTTGGCTGCGCTGTGTCCTGGACACAGCCTTATCTGCTCAACACACAGAAAACTCCCATGCTGAGAAGCGCTTTGTGCTACTTATAAACTCTGAAACTTTGTCTTACAATTCATTTTCCCTCATATTAGCACTTCTGGCCCCCCTGCTGCCCGCCATTATCTTGGGAGGCTGGTGTTAGTGGATTAGTGGAAATCAATATGAGAGATGGCAAAGCACCGTGACTGTGCAGTGAAAAAACTTTGTTACTAACTGGGATGCCTGCTGCTTGAATTTTGTGAACATCGTAAGGAGCTACACGTGCCCTTTGGTTTTAAAATGTCTAACGAAGCTGGATGCAATCGCACCTTCTGTCTCTGATGTTGAGTCTGTTTTATCATTGTCGCCAACGGGTGTCACTCTTCACTCCTCGGAAGGTGGCACTGGCCATGTACCACACTCAATAGCTGATGTGCTAGGTTTTCTTAATTAACACTTGATTTTTAAAAAGTATGGTTGCACATTTGGGACGTGATGAGACTTGCGTCCCTCCAGGGGAGCTCTGTGAAGGCTGCCAGGAGAAGAAGGGGAGATGCATCAAAACTCATTGTATTTTCACTGAATCAGTGTGCTTTGGGTCTGGCCTCCCATGTACCACACTCAATAGCTGATGTGCTAGGTTTTCTTAATTAACACTTGATTTTTAAAAAGTATGGTTGCACATTTGGGACGTGATGAGACTTGCGTCCCTCCAGGGGAGCTCTGTGAAGGCTGCCAGGAGAAGAAGGGGAGATGCATCAAAACTCATTGTATTTTCACTGAATCAGTGTGCTTTGGGTCTGGCCTCC